AACATCGATGGTGTGATGGCAGCCCTCAACATCGTTCACAATCCAGATGAGTGGAGACTGTTCATTGATTCATCGAAGACGAGTCTTAAAGCTGTTTTGCTGCATAATGGCAATGTTTTGCCATCAATTCCAGTTGGTCATGCAGTCCATATGAAGGAAACCTATGACAACATGAAACAACTTTTGAGGTGCATAAACTATGACCAACATCAGTGGCAGCTTTGTGGCAATTTGAAGGTTGTTGCTCTCTTGCTTGGTCTGCAGACTGGATACACAAAGTACAGCTGTTTTCTCTGTGAATGAGAGAGTCGTGCAAGAGATCAAGATAGATTGGCCACTCCGACAGTCATTGGAGCCTGGGAGGAAAAGTGTTCAGCATCCACCAGTTGTTGAAACAAGGAAGATTTTTGTTACCACCCTTACACATCAAGCTGGGTCTGATGAAGAACTTTGTCAAGGCCATGAACAAAACACAAGCAGCTTTCAAGTACCTCCATGGAAAACTTCCAAGGTTATGTGAAGCTAAGATAAAGGAAGGTGTCTTTGTTGGTCCTCAGATTCGTGAACTTCTTCGAGATGATGCATTTGACCACGCACTGCGTGGCAAGGAAAAGACGGCATGGAAAGCCTTCCAGTTAGTGGCAATAAATTTTCTCGGAAACAAGAAGGCAGACAACTACAAGTTGTTGGTGGAAAACCTCAAGGCATACAAAAGTCTTGGTTGCAACATGTCACTAAAGATACACTTTTTTTGCACTCTCATCTAGATTTTTTTTTTTTTCCCACCGAACTGCGGATCAGGTGAGTGACGAGCACAGCAAGCGATTTCACCAGGACATTGCAACAATAGAGAAATGCTATCAGGGCAAATGGAGCCCATCAATGCTTGGAGACTATTGCTGGACAGTGACAAGAGATGCTCCATTTAATGAATACAAGAGACCAGCCAAGAAGCACTGAGTAGACACTGAATAGAACTAAACTATGTACATAATAGTTTTTGCCTCTTGTTTCATAATAAATTTTATTTATAGAACCCTTTTGCTGATTTTTAAAGTGTTACATAAACAGGACAGGTGAAATATTATCATGTAAAGCAACCATAAACACGTGAAAAGACCTAGGTTTACAATTTACGATTAAAACTCTAGCTGCACAATATACATAGACGTAAAATGTAAAAACTTAAATATCTTGGAAACAATAGCCAATCAGTTGTTTTAATTGTCATATTTGAATTCAGCACATCAAAATACATAATAAATAGTACTTTTTATCTCCTAAGCAGACTACTTCTAAAAAATTGTAGACCAGTGTTACTTGACTAGTCAATAGGCACTTCCTCCTTTGAAATGTACAAAAGCCCCAGCGGGAGACAGTACAAGAGGTAGCGGGGGTGGGGGATTCAACTAGCCCTTAACATCCTTAGTTAGCGCTGGTTGAGTTGGCGTAATACTTGTTACATTTGTTACCTGAAACTTGGAATTGGATTATGTGAAACTTGGAATCTAATGCAGCAAGAGCCAGGGAAGGCTGCAATTTAGTGGTGTCCTCTACTGTCAAGTGAAGATTTGACTCAGCGTAGCAGTAGCTTTAGATTGCAGGAACTTTGAATACTGTCAGTCCTCTTGATCTGTGCATGTAGCTTTTCTGAACCCTGTGCTTTGACCTAAGTAATCTGTTGCTAGATTCAAATCCTGTATAGAAATACAATGTTCTAATTCAGATCTTTTCCTTAATTAAATGGGAAGGGAGTTAAATGTCACTAACCATCAGACTTCTCCAAGCTAATATAGTTCTTTGGCTTCTCCGTTTTGCTTCTGCACCCTCCTCTCCATAACATCTGGCTTTGGATGGCCTAATACAGTTGTTTAATCCTTGTTTGTCCTATTGCTGGGTTAGCTACCAGTGAATCATGCTTTTGATGACTTTCAAAAATAGAACTTCTAATGTAGAAGAAAACATTTTGTGTAAACTTCTGTCCTAGAAGTCCATTTCCTTAAATGTCATGCAATTCTATATGTAGTATCTTTCTGTGTATCACGCCCGAAAAAAACTTTAGTAAACTTGCATTTTTCTTTCCTAGTTAGTTTTAGCTCAAGTTTCAAAATGAAACGCTTTTTCTAAACAGGTAGAGAAATATTCTAAAACTAATCTATGGGTTTTACTTTAGGGTTTTCTTCATTGAGAAATTCAGATTTTCTTCTCAAGAAGCAAGTGCAATTAACAGGTATTCCTGCAAATTTACTTTAAGTCTTTAACATAAAGCCTTTTCATGTAAAGTATGTCACTAAGGTCTGGGAGTCCAGGGAGAGAGGTGGGGAATCTTTTTCAGATCTTATCTTCAGGCATATTTGTATTGTATGACCAGTGTGTTTCACTGGAGCCTGAGTAGGCTATTCTGTCAAGGAGCATCAGTCTCTCCCTTGTGGGAGATAGACTATTAAAAACGAGCCATAGCACTTTGTTTAGAAATGCCTTCTTCAGGTGCTATGCTGCTTGGGTATTTATCGGGCGTGGAATGTATGAATTATGCCTTCTAGCATCCCAGAACAGTTCAATCGTGGGGTTCCAGAATGAAGAGGGGATTTGGTGTTGTAGATAGTGGTGCTTCATCATGGGAACGGCAGAAACTCCTTGTGGCTTAAAATGTAGGAGAATAAATGTTTTCAAACTTATCACTTTATTTTGTAGCATTGTATATATCATATCAGCACCCATGTCCCCTCTCTTTGGATTCCTGGTGGATAAACTTGGAAGAAATATTATCTGGGTTATGTGTGCTGTAGTGGTAACCCTTGCTTCTCACGTTATGTTGGCCTTCACTTTCTGGAACCCTTGGATTGCCATGGTAATTCTTGCTAATAACAGTTACTTTGTGTGTAATACATCACTTTTTTTTTTAATATATCTTCTCTGAGGTGAAGAGCTCTCTTTTTTGCAGCCACTGACCCAAAACAAAATCAGTTGTGGGCCACATGCTGTCCTTTGTGGGGTATGTAGGCTCCATGTGCCTCAGAAATGAGGGAATTTGGGGCTGAGACAAGGAAGTGGGGTTTAGGGAGAGAGTTAGCACCCCGATGTGCCTATCCCAGAACACCCAAGGGATTTGGGGTGCAGAAGAGGGCTCTGGGCCAGAACCAAGGGAGTTGGTGTGCGGGACAGAGTTCCATCCTGGGGCCGGAGAGTTGGGATGCAGGCTTGAGTCAGGTGGTGCTTACTACACTTGGCTCTGTTGGCCGTGGAATGGAAGTGGCAGTCATGTCTAGCTGCTCTGCATGGCCTGTGTTGCCAGTGCAGCTCCCATTGGTTACAGTTCCCAACCAATGGGATCTGTGGAGCTGGCAAAGCATGCAGAGCTTTCCTGCATACTAGGACTTCTGGCCTGCTGAGCGGTGATTTGCTGTGGGCTGGATGAAATTAAGCAGCAGGATGGATCTGGCCTACAGGCCAGCAGTTTCCCCGCCTCTGTGTTATCTGATAGCATGGTCAATACAATTTATTATGTAGCTCTCTTGATCCTATTTCTGGCGCTGTGCATATAATGGAGATGAGAGAATAGCGACTAGTGTAGAGAAAGATAATCAGGCATTCCTATTTACCCTTTATTTAAATAATACAGAAACAAGGGAATGCTATATGAAATAAAAATTAAAGGCGAAGTTGTGGAATGATTTACACAAAACTATCTGCTCAAAATTACCATCGAGGCAAAGTCCTTAGGACTTTAACATAGGCAATTTAAAACCAGATTAGATACCTAACTGAACTGTAGTGAAGATTGAAACATAAGGGCTTATAATAGACAAGCCAACCACTGTGGGTGGGAGGTTAGCAGGACACTTGCCATGTAGGTAGGTCGTTCTAGAATGTAGGTAGGCTCGTGTCTGATCTGTTACAGTAATTCCAGTGCTCCTTCAGAATCTGGTAGGGTTCAGAGGGTGGGTTGTAAGACTGCGGTTTTGCAGCAGCTGCCTCTTACTTTCATGGCACTCTAGACTGTAGGAAGAAGCTCCAAGGGTCTGAAGCTTAGCAACTCTGCAAGCTGCCTGCACTTTTTCCTCTGGTATGGGCTAATCTTAAATAAGGTCATGGGTGAGATGCTTAACTGTTTTCTGTTCTGGAAGCTGTGTACAAACACTGGAAACTCCAAACAGCTTCTCATCAATTTTACTGGAGTGAAGAAATTGCCAGAAACCCCACTTTGTGTTCATACCACTTTCTAGTCCTGCTGCATTAAAGCGTTCGCTCCTCTGAAGTCCTGTACTGTAGAATTCTGAAGGCACCTGGCTTTCCAGGTGATAGGAGAGGGGGGAGTTGAACTTATGTTTTCTTTATTGGTAGGAAGGTAACTTAAACTCTCCCAAAAATGTGGCATACTTTTCTATGTATTGTATCTCCACAAAATTAAGCTTTTTTCCCCCTCTAACTGGCTGATTCTGCTTATGCAAAGCTCATCCAGAAACTTGTTGCCAAAATACAGGCCTGCTGATATGGGAGGAGCAAAGGGGGCAACTGCTCCAGGGCCCAGCAGTTTAAAAGGGCCCAGGGCAGTGGCAGCACCTGGAGCCCCAGGTCCTCTACATCGCCACTGAAGCGCTGTGCTCTAGGCAGTTCGGGGGGGCTGCATGCATGCATGAGCACTGCATTCCAGGTGGCGCTGAGGATGAGTGCTCCTGGCCTTGCCCCTTCTGGGACGACAGAGCTAGCCCCCACCATCCTCACAACCTTGGGGCCCAGCAAGGCTGTCAGTTCCCCTGTAGAAATGTCATCCTTTTTTATTAAAACTCTATACCACAGTGGGCAAGAGGCAGCTAGCCGCCCAGGTCTGGCCTGCGGCTGCCTTGCTAGGATCCTTAAGCACAGTACAGCTGCTCTAAATGTTCCCAGCATAGAGCAGCTACAAGGAGGGAAGCTTTGTGCTCTGTTCCCGCCCCCAGCAAAATTTCTCAGTGCCCATTGACCAGTTTCTGGCCAATAGGAGCAGAGAGATTTTGCTGGTTGCAGGAGCAGCCAATGAAGCCTCTTCCCCTCCACCCTGCCTGGAGCAGAACCATGTAGAACAGCTTGCAACTGCAGCCTTCAGGTTCCTGCAGGGCTGCTGGCTGGAAGCTGCTTAGGTAAGCACCTTTCAGTCAGTCTGCCTATGGCACTCCTTCCCCTGCCATTGCCTCCCACCTACCTGTTCCAGTCCACCACCCAAACCCTCTGCACTCCTTTCCCCCACATCACAACTGCCTCCCTGTCCTACACCTCTCCCCTCCACCAGGCTAGAATCCTCTCTGGCACCCACACCCCCTCCCTTTACTATGCATCCAATTCTCCTGCCATAGATCAGCCTCTCCCCTCCCCTCAAACTCAGACTCCATACCCTCTCCTGCGTCTCAGCCTCTGTCCCAGACCCCCTCTCCCTGCAGTAGAAATGCAGCCCTTGATCAGTTGCCAAAAATCATGGAGGGGGGGGGGCACACCAATAAATATTATTACCCACCCTTGCTGTATACCAAGTATTATATCTTAGTACTTATAGAGTGAGTTGTATATAGACTGGTTTTAAATACAATCTTATTTATTCTAATCTTGCTTTCAACAGTGTATGTTAGGAGTAGCCTATTCACTGCTTGCGTGTGCTTTGTGGCCAATGGTAGCTTTTGTTGTGCCAGAACATCAGCTGGGAACCGCTTACGGCTTGTGAGTATATTTATATCTGTCTCCCACGGGAGGCCTATAGCAGGCACTTCCAAATACTGAAGAACCACTTACATTTTGACTAGCTTATTCCTGATTGCAGTGACCATATTAGCAGCTAATGAAACTATCTTACAAAATTACTTATGCTAGGAGCAATTCTCAAGTTCTTACTGTATGTTTTTGATAGCAAATAAACCTAATACTTGTTTCCGTTCTTTTGAAATTATTGTTTCTAAAATAGGTTTTGCTCTCCACATGTGAAAGATTAGTGGCAAAAGCAACAGGTCACAAACATAGGACTTGATTCTGCCCTCAGATTTGTGGATGTAGTTTGTAAAATCTGAGAATGTAGTTGTTGCATATTTTGCTTTTGTATACCTTGATTTAACTTGTGCCTGTGTAGAGAGTCTTTTTTTTAAGCTTTATTTATAAATGCAGATAAGGAAACTCTTTACTCTTCATACCATAAGCAAGTTGACTTCTTTAAAAATAATAAAATTCCCCATGTAATGTGAATAATATTGTATACTCTTGTCTTTTAGTATGCAGTCTATCCAGAATCTGGGTCTGGCAATTATTGCCATAGCAGCAGGCATGATACTGGATTCTCGAGGGTACCTGTTCCTAGAAGTCTTCTTCAGTGCTTGTATTTGCTGTAAGTACATTACTGTGGGAACCTATTGCCCCTGAATATAGGGGAGCTCACATGACATTTTCCTTATTTCTTGGTGTCTTTGTAGACATATCCATGAATTGTTTTTGGTTGCATAGATTGATAATTGGGTGCTTGCTTGTTTCATAAGCTGATGTTGAAAGTAACTAATTTTCACTGGACTACTGATTCCTTAGGTTCAAGGGACTTTATAATGAGTATGGAAGATAGCGGAGGTAGGATGAGACTAGATGGATATTAAATATAGTCAAAACCTTTGCAGGTAACACTGAAACACGCTAGTTATGCTAAAATGGGATCTTCCAGGAAAGTCTCTTTCCATGTTAAGGAATCTTTCTTTCCTGATCTTGCTTTAAGCACTGTAAGTGGAATGAAAGCAAAGTCAATAGGTCTTGTGCTCCTAGCTCACTTAGCAAGATTGACCGAAGAGCTGATTTGTAAATCCCATATGTAAAATTTGACTGAATTGCATTTTAGAGTAAGAGTTTGGTTTTCCTCCCCTCTTAGTAACCTTGCTGACAATACTCTTCTGCTTTTCTAGTGTCCCTAATAGCTGTGGTTATGCTGTATTTTGTGAATCATCTCACTGGTAAGCATATGTTTATATTGTCTCTATTTTGTTCTGTTGAGTTGGTAATTACAGTTACAACAGTGATCTAAATCTTTCCTCTCTAGCTAGTATTACAAGTAGGGTAACAAACTGTGTGGATAAAATTTTACCCTCTGAATGTAGCTATTTCTAAATTATCTCAACATAAGTTTTCTTTATTAAAATTCCCTCAACATTATCGGTATGAATGCTCCTAATAATTGGGATATGCAGAGGATTCAGGACCTTCTTGAACTAACTTGAGAACTAGTTTTAAAACACTTTGCACTTAATATAGTTCTTTCTTATGAAAAGAATACAGTACAGCTGCACATGGATATCAGACTTGATTGTCTATGCTAGGTCAGGGGTTCTCAGGACAGATTTTTTTTTTTTTGGTGGCCACTCCTATTTGTTTTTCTAAAATACTTGGGGGCTGAAGTCCCATGTCCAGATCCCAAGTCCCCACAGGTTGAGGATAGGGCTTGGGGCTAGCACTCTAAGCCCCAAGGCCAGAGCCTGCCACCCCAATCCCTGGGACTGAAGCTCAAAGGCTGAGCCCCACTGCCCAGGGGAAGATAGGGAACTGACTGCCTGTTCCTCCAGCCTTGTGCCCCTGGGGTCTCTGGAGTGAGGGCAGGATCCAACCCCTGCTGGCAGCTAACACCAAGGTGGTGCATCCAGGAGCAACAAGGAGGGGCTTTTACTTTGCCCTTTTCTTATCTCCACCATCACAGCCCAGGCTGTTGCCGTATGAGAGCCCCTGGTGGCCATATCTGAGAAATGCTTTAGTAGGCCATGAGTAAGGCCATATCTTCACTTGCCGTGTTGGAGATCAATCTTCTGTCATTTGACTTAGTGGGTCTAGTTAAGACCCGCTAAATCGAACACTGAGCATGGCTCAGGTCAGTGCTGGTACTTCTGGCAGTCACGAGAAGTAAGGAAAGCCAACAGGAGTGTTTGCCCCTGTCATGGCTCCTTCCCCACTCTGGCATGATAAATGCAGAAATGGGGGCCAGCAAGTGTACCCCAAAGCCTTATCTACCAGGCTTGTATAAAACTTCCCCCAAAATCTTAAACCTAGATCTTGGGAATAAAACTTCCGCTGCCACCTCCCAAATCTTGATAAAGAAATTAGGGGGAAGATCATTTGGGAAATCTCACCCCTAAGATAAAAATCAAGGCACACAATTAACCACTGCCAGGTTAATAAAAAGAAAAGAAAGAACCTTTATTATTACAACAATATTCCTGTTGCAAACATAATGACTAGATATGGAGGTAACAAAATATACTCATGGAGAAACTCCATGGGCCTAGAACTTAGTTACAAAGAAAAGCCAAAACATCTTTTAAGCAGTGCCAGATCTCAGATCCCATACCCAATCCTTAAAACAATAAAACCTAACGAAACTACCTAAACTTTACCCTTCTTACAGAAAATGAAGAATGGTGTCTTGGAGAGAGAGAGAGAGAGAGATGCTTGTCCCTCTCTGTAGCTGCAGAGAACTCCCTGAGAGACAAAGGGGAGAAAGGAATAAACCCAAGTTCCTTTGTCCCAGTTTGAAAAGTCCCACCTACATTCCTATTGGTCATTCCACCTGGCTAGGTGTAGTTAACCCCTTAATCCCCAGGCTGCTGGCTAACCCTCATAATCATGACCGCCCCCATTGGCTTATCTCTGTGAAGATGGTGCCAAGCTGGAGTCAGTTAACCTTAAGCCAGCCTACATATCTTGCATAGCTGAAGTTGTGCACCCTAACCTGACCTTCCAGGTCTAGTGTAGACTTTGGCCTAAGGCTGTGGGTATGTCTACACAACAGAGTGTCTATGCTACAAGCCTTTATTTCATGGAGGTTAGGTCCATAAAAGGCTATTAGCCAGGGGATAAAATGGTGTCCTTGGCCTCTGTCAAAGGCTGGAGAGGGATGACAGGAGACCAATCGCTTGATCATTGTCTTCGGTCCACCCTCTCTGGGGCACCTGGTGCTGGCCACTGTCGGCAGACAGGATACTGGGCTAGATGGACCTTTGGTCTGACCCAGTACGGCCATTCTTATGTTTTTATGAAATAATGTTGAGCTGGAGGACTACTTACTCTGACTCCTATACCCTCATTTTACAAGGTGTAAGGGAAATTGAAAGAAAAGCGGTGTTCCTTCAGCTTCCCGCTATGTAGACAGCTTAATTTGGCTCTTGATGCTATTTTGACTTCAGCTATGCAACTGACATAGCTGAAGTTGTGTAGCTTAATTCAACTTTAGACCTGCTGTGTAGATGTACCCTGTGTGACTATTTCCATATCCCTATTTGGAAAACACTCAGATTCTTTTCTAGACCTCATAGCAACTGTCGAAGTGCTATGTTTTTGCATATGTAAAATTTGTATTGGGTATTTGGAAGGCACATTCTTAGTTTCCCCCTTGTCTGTTCTTGCATGTCTAATTATATTTCCGACACCGGAGTTGGATAATGATAGAACTGGAGAATATTCAATCTATATTGCTAGTAATATTGGCTTTTTTCCTACCAAAGACATTCTAGCATTTTATCCAGTATATGTGTAAATGACCCAAGCTGAGTAGGGCGCTTTTTTTTAATTCAAGAAAGCCATTCCTGACGTCCAGCCAGAAACTTCACTTTTTCTTTACAACCTGCTGTTAGTCCTATCATGCTAAATTACTTTATCCTTTGTGTGATCTATCCCTTTTTAAATTTTTGTTCATACCACATTATAGCTGAAGTCAGGTGATAACTGTCAAAATTTCTTTTAGCACTGAACTAATTTCTTTTAGCACTGAACTAAGCTATCAGTCCTTTTCTGGGTGCTGTTATTTAACTGCATTCACTCTAGACCCTAAGCTGGTTACAGGTGGAACTCCTCTAGTCTGGCATTCTCTGGACCGGCGGCATCCATGGTCGGGCCTGATTTTAGTTAGCTAGATGTCCACTTAACATGCATACGGCCAAGTTTCCCATGGTCCCATAAAGTTTTACAGCCACCAGTTCTGTCTTTGTGTTCTGTGCTGTTTAGCTCTAATTTTACCCCTAAATGTTTAATAGCCCAGTAAGCAGTAGAAGTGTTGGTAATACTGTTAGACAATATTGCCCTCCTATTGTTCAGCACTGGTTAGACCCCGAGGGTGCTAGACCAGAGCAAGAAAGTATAGGTTGAACCTCTCTAAAGTGTCTGTTTATGCAGCATAGAATGACTGACTGATTTTTAATTGTAGTCTTATTGTCTAAAGGTGTCTCAATATTGCTAGTTTCCATATGTGTATTTACTTTCATTTTTCCAAGTTAGAGATGGTAAAGTGGTGTTTCTAGTTGCCTGGACCTCACAAAGTCAAATATTTCAGAATTTCCTAAATATAACTTCTGTTTGTAGGAGGTGATCTTAACTGGTCTGCAAAGAAAAGGGAAAAACTGCAAAAGCTAGCTGCAGCTGAGTGAGTATATAAAGCTGAGAACTGATCTTGATATTGCAAGATAAGGTAATTACAAAAGTGTGGATAAGGGCCAGAGTCTATAGAATCAAGTAGGATTCTGAATGACCAAGAATGAATGAGGCAAGAATAACTCTACTGCAAATAGAAATACTCTTCACACTTTCATTCTGCAAAAAATTGAATCCAGCTGGAATTGAAGATGTTTTGTACCTTTGGGGGGGAGGAAAGAGGCCATCTGCTGGCATCTAAGGTTGGGTGCCCACAATTTGGTCTGAAGTGTGCATTTTAGAGGATAATGCCAACTCTCAATTATCTGCAATTTTGGTTTGAAATTAGAGACAGGGTGGGATTTTTTTTATTGAAACAACTGTTGATGGACAAAGTTTTTTTTAGGGTTTTATTCAACAAATGTAGAAATCCAGCATGGCTTGGAAAACACAACCCACTTGTAAATTCACCCTCACTTCCAAAAGCTTTATGCTTTCAGATAAGTTTTTAAGTGGGGGGGTGGGAAATCTATCCTAAGTAGGACACTATATTGAGACTTAAAATCTTTCAATTCCTGGCTGAGACACAGACTTCCCATGTAGTAATGAGCAAGTTGAGGCATAGGAGACTAAGCAATTCCTCAACTGTAAAATGAGGTGGTTAATATTTGAGTGTCAGGAGTGCTGTGAGCTAGTAATGACTGAGCCATTCAGATAAAATGAAGATGACTACAGCAGTAGATCTAATTGGCTTTAGGTTAAGGCACATTTTTTGAAGCTTCTACTCAAGGATAGGACAATTATGAAGCTATAATGTCTATTGTTTCAGGTTTTATTTTTTTCTCCAGAGATAGTTATCTTAGAAAACACATTAAATACATTTTACAATGTTTTATTAGGATCTTTTAATGTCATAATATATAAATAAGCAATTCTAAATTAGATATTCTGAATACTTCAGATAAATATATTTATTTGGTACACTTCTTGTGAACACTGTTCAGATTTGGAATAGTTCTATTGAAAATTAGAATTTTCTGGTACCTTTACCCTCTCAGTGCGGTTTAGGGTTGTATGTTAACTTCTTTAACTTAAAATAAAATTTCCACTTGTCTAAGCAGTAAAAATGTGAGGTGCTAAGCTTGCATTTATGTAATCTGTCTGATTTGCAACTAGACCTTTTTATTGCAGTGGCTACAGAACTAGCTTTGTTTTTTCAGAAAAGGTGACTGATAGAAAGTGTCTGTACATAAAAACATTCTTACAACATCTTACAGACTCATGACTTCGAAATGAAATCTCCCAACCAAAATCAATTCTCCAGTAGGAGATGAGGGTTTCATAGTGGCCTGTGGTATGACACTACAGCAGTGGTCTCCAACCTTTTTAAGCACAAGATCACTTTTTTTTAATTTAAGTGCAATCCAGGATCTACCTCAAACCCAAATATCCCCATCCCGTCTCCTTTGTGCTCCTTCTGAGGCCCTGCCCTTGTTCACTCAATCTTTCTCCTCTGTCACCCATTAACCCTCCCTTTCACCAGGCAGAGGGTTGTGGCACAGGCTCTGGTCTTCTGCTAAGGGATTTGGAGTGTTAGGGGCTCTGAGCTGAGCCTGGGGCAGGGGCTTGAGGTTCAGGAGGGTGTTCGTGACTGGGGCAGGGGATTGGAGCTGACTCCAGCTGGACGTTGCTTAACTCTGGTGGCTCTTGAGTAGTGAGGGTAAGGGCTTTCCTTGGCCCTGCACCACTCAAAAGCAGCCAGCAAACCACCTCCGTCCCAAGCCCTGTTGTGCCCCCCTCTGTTCTGTGGCGATTGGATACAGGGTGGGAGAAAGGCACCCTGACATCAGCACCCCTCCTCTCCCTTCCCTGCTCTGTACCACAAGCAGGAGGCTCCCAGGCAAAAGGCAGGAGATGGGCAGCGGTGTGGGGAGGAGCAGCTGAAGTGTTGGCACTTGATAGCGTCTTGGCCAAGCCAGTCAGAATCACCTGTCAGAGGCTTCAAGATCAATCAGTAGATCCCGATCTAATGGTTGGTGACCACTACAGAGATGGGAAGAGGACACCCAAAACACCACTTCAGCAGTGTAACAAGGGAGGAATACTTGGTTCCAAAAGATATAGTATTTGAGCAAACAGTAACCAAGATGTGAAGCTTCTTTGGGTGGCAAAGGAGCAGAAGAGGCTATGTAAGATTTTGTCCGGATGTGGCGCATGCTGCATCACCAGAAACAGATACATATTTTTTATGTGACTTGCCAGGTCAATGCAAGATGTATGCAGTGTGGCTAATATTCAGCTGAAAAGATAAACTTTTGTGTTTGATAAAGCACCCTGAATGTCTTGGTTCTTTGTAGCAGTGTGTTTTCAATAATTCTCACTACAATGTTTTTTGCAGAAAAGAAATTTGAATAGCAAATGTCATCCAGAAGTTGAGAGCATTTGATCAGCAACTTACCAACTTGAAGAATTATAGTGTATTTAGATCTCGATGCTTAGCACTGGACAATACAGTTGATTGGAAAACATACTAACATGCCAAGGATTTTACAGTAAACTGTTTTATGACGACGCTTCTGCTTTGTAACAGTTTTTAATAGCTACCAGAGCACTTACACTGCATTGGGTCATAGCATTTTAGACTGAAATGAAATTGAATGGAATTGGAAAAGTGTTCTCTTTGACCTGAAGCCAATGTATATTGTAATATAAACTAGATAAAGCATCTCACACATAGGAGCAGCACTTTAGTATTTCTCTGGTTGGTGATAGGCAAAAGTTCTAATTAGTGTTAAGCAATTATTTGTCTTGTATTTTGTGTACTGAAAAGATCATTTGCCTTCCAAAACTTAATAGGTCATGTCACATTCTTAATGCAAATCACTATCCTATGTAGCGTAAAACACAGTTCAATCTTCCAAGACTTTTTTATATTCTTTATGGAAAAGGCTCAAGTTGAAAATATGTGGGAGTGGGGACATTTGTTTCTAAGTACTGTATGGTCAAAAACTGGATCTTTGATCTCTGATAAAAACCAAATTCTGATTGCTATGCATTCTGTAAGACTGTTGAGCAGTCTCTAAGATTGTCACTTTTTTGTGTTATAATCTTAATATATTTTTAAAAATCAAATCTTAACTGATAATGGCATAATTGTCCGAATTTTGTTTAAAAAATGATTCAATGTGTTGTAATTTTCCATTGAAGTTCTAAATGCTAAATAAAAGCAATTGCAGAAAATAGTCTGTTTTTCTTTGAATATCAAATTAGTGTTGCTTGCTAGGCATTTTTCTCTTTAGCCAGCTGTCTTACATCTATAAACATTATAAACTGAGTTACTAGAAGAAAAATAATCATACTAACAGTTTCTGGTTTCCACATCTTAATTTAGTTCATTTTGTTTTACAGAGCAGAAAAGCGTGAGGAACTCAGACATCAAAATGAAGATGACTTGGCCAAATTGAAGCCAATAAATGACTTTAGTTTAAGGAATAGGTATCTCTCCAAACTAGGAGCTCAGGTATTAGTAGCAAAGCAGTTTTTCCGAAAACCTGCTTCTGAAGTGTCTTCTCAAGCAGTATATTGTGTTGGGTTCTTTTTGGTATTTTTGAGAACTAAATTTACCCCAATGCTGTTAGAAAGGAATCTAACCCAGAATTTTTTAAAGAAATTAAAAAAACTGAAGAGGTAGACTAAACCTGTCTTTCAAATTAAAACTACTGGTAAGATAAAGAATAATTATAAATGATTTATCATTCTTTCATACTTATTTTTTTGCAGCTGCCTGATAATTACTCTTCCTATTTATCTTCATTGGCACACAGGAGTGTGCTGAAATAGCATCTTCACAAGTTTGTCAAGAAATGGAAGGGCTCTGAAGTTTACGTAGACAAACTTTCTTCTGCCAGTCAACTACACATAGAACAGAAGTAGAATAATTTTTTGCAATGTAAATCCTAAGTGGGGTTTCTCGAATATTTTTGGAATATTGGTTAAGCTCTTGTCAGTTTCTCATATGGTAATTAACTCCTCATCTGGGTCTATTTGAATCTATGTGCTATCATCAGCAACCACTTTACCTTAAAAATGTAGCCAATAGGTGGTTCCAATTGTAACGTGAAATACTACTTCAGACTTGAAGCATTGAGTTTTGGCTTCTGTGCCATATACAAAACCAAATCATATACTTAAGCCTTGGGAAACAATAGCCTGTTCAGCCATTGAACTATTCTTCATGTAGGCATTCATCTGGTCATGGTACACTTAATCCTGGACATCCTTGTTAACCTCTGCAATAATTTTACTTTCTTTTACTATGGAAAATGTAACCATAGAAACTGGCTACCTTTTTTTTTTAAAATTGTCAACAAGCTTTATGAAAACTTGGGATTTAAAAAAAAAAAAAAAATAACATAGTGCAGTCTTTAAAGCCAGACTTAGAAGTTGCATTAATATGTGGTGGTGATGTTAATCAAAGTTGAGCCATTTTCCTGTGGAAAGACACGATGCAGTTTTTATAGCTCTTTACTCTAACTGACGTGTAACTTTCAATCGGTGTATGTTGGTGAAGTGTTTTTTAGTTTGTGCAATGAGAGAATTGGCTTTAGGATCAACTTAATTCCAAAGATGTCAGCTCCCATGTTTTCAATGGAAGCAGACCTATGCGTGCATGTAAGCTGAACTGGATCTTAAAATCTCATACAATGTGCATATTTCTTGCGAAGTGGTTAGTAATCTAATTTTTGAGTTTTCTACCTTTGACTAAATTTTCAAAGTGGTCTTAATCTCAGCTAGGTTGTACTCCAACCTTTATTGCTTAAAATTTATAACAGCATCTGGAAGGCAGTTTTTCCTAATAGAGTAGCAATCTATTAGGAAAAATCTAACAAATACACTTTTTTTGAGGAAGTGACTTAATGACTCCTTCTGTATCTTACAAACTTGATCAAAGATGGGACTGCCATGGTGAGGTCTCATGAAACGTATCCAGTAAGATAGTATGCGACTTGGTGGCTTATTGTTGAAAATTAGCACTAACAAGTGTAAATGCAAACTTTTTTTCTTTTGCGGGAAGTGGGGGGGAAGTCTGTACATAATCCACCTACAGATAGCACAGTAAAAATGGATTTTGCATGTACACTTAGATGCTGATCTTTTTTAGTAAATAAAACTGAATGGACGAGGCTCTTGGCTCTCTGTTTTTAATGTAGCTCCTTAAGCACTTTTGTGTAGTAGTCCGTTGACATGATTGCTGTCTTCTGTGGAGGGGAGGGCTTGAGGAAACTTCTCCAGGAGAATGAGATCTGCAGTTGAGGGGTTCTCCCTCTAAAGAAATCATGGAATTTGTCTCTTCTCCCGCCCCTGCAATCTCATGCCTCTCTGCTATCCATGGCAGTACTGTATTGGTGAAGCATGGGCCAAGAAATAGTTAAGTTTCACAAATGACCTGACGTCTCAAAGGGGTTGCCATGTTAGTCTAACTTTAAAAACAAGTGGTCTTGTGGCACCATCGAGACTAACAAAATGGTAATCTATACAAATATATATTTTAATATTGGCATCCTGTCCAAATTCCCTCTGGTCTTGAAACTTTTGCTCTGAACACTTCACCATGTTGCTAGCCTCTGTTAAAGTCCAGGCTACTGGGTATGAACCATCATGCAAGCTAGATTAAAGCTAGCACAGTTATAGTGACCTCTGATGCAGTCCCATCTTTCATTGCAGTGTGGATGTACCCAAAAAGTGCTCTCCTGTGTTTATGTAATGTTGTCTCAACTCAAAACTCCAGGTTTCCAGTCTCAGTTCAATGATTTATTCTGACCTTTCTCTTTCACTGTGTTATATGGAGCTTTGGTCTCTCATTTAACAGTGCTAAACATTGTTTGGGGTTAGCATAGGGACCTCAGCCTGCTTACTTCTATGACAAAGACCCCATTAAAAACCCTTTTAGCTCTTTTATTAAGGTACATGAGGGGAGTGGAAAAAGAAAAGCCACTTAATGGATTTCATTTTAACCTCTCGTTCACTTTAGCTGAAAACTGTTTTTAAGAGAACCCCTTGTTTGCTTCTAAATGGCAGGAACTATCCTTTTTGTGTGTGTTGTGGGGAGGGATCAGTGGAGAAGGGCTAGTGCTGTAATAGTCCGATTCCAGTTCCTGGATGATAAAGCAAGGCACATTATAAAAGGGGAAGAGAATGCAGTTTCTGTCCGATTCTCACCTGCTGTTGAAAAACTTAGGCACAGCACTGTCTTATCAACCACTAGGAGAACTGACAATGGTCTATGAGACTCTTGAGGACATTGCACTTTTTGCTGCTCTTCTGGTCAAAGGCTTATACTGACAATGGTCTATGAGACTCTTGAGGACATTGCTATAAGCCTTCGACCAGAAGAGCAGCAAAAAGTGCAGAGTGGCAATCTGGGATAGCTAAGCCAAACTCTTACAAGAGGGATTGGAAAGAAGAGGATGTAGTGTGTGCCAGTCTTGCATCCCAGTTGACGTTCGTGATTAAGTTGGTGGGGGTGATGTTATCTGGGCAGGATCTCAGGATCAGGATGGAAAAAGGTCCAGGGTACAAGACAGGAATAGGGTTGGGGTGATATAACTGGCACAATGAAGTTTATTCACATTGCCTTTTTAATTACCCAGTGTTATACTATCCAAAATCTCTTAGGTACCCCAAAAGGCAGCCCATCACGATTAAGTGTGTGTGTGTGTGTGTGTGTGTGTGGGAGGGGGGGGTCTTAACGCAGTCCTTGAAAATTTTTGGTTTTTAAACTGGCTCCCCTCACGGACCAGTTCCCACCTGGCACCTCACGCTGCTGCTTCTGATACAGAGGCAGCAGCACAGAGTGGCAGGATGCTCCTTGGGGAGGCTCTTTGGGAGTGAGGCTGGAGTGCACTAGCTGCTGGCCCCACCTCTGTGGATTATAGAATAGTCAAGTAACCAATAAAAATCATGAGGTTAATTGGCTATTCAATTAACCGATATTTAACATCCCTAACACTTACCCCTGCACTTTAGCCTTGAAATATGCCTCTAGCAATAAAAAGCTATTTCAACCTCTAGGCCCTTTTTATCATTGGATTCTATGGAAAATGGCAAGAGGAGGGATTTTATTCGATAGAGACACCATCTACCAGGAAGTGGACGGACTAACTCACTTGGACCTCTAAATGGCTTCCAGTTAAAGGGTGGACCTGAGTTACTCTATTCTTAAGAACCAGAGAAAAGAAACAAGTAACATATTTAAGTATTTCCTTATTCAATAACGCAAGCTGGCTGCTAACAGTTTAATGTAGTTTGTCTCCTAATTATAGGAAAGCCTTGATCTTCACTTGCGATTCCATGAGTAATGTCAGAATACAAATTTCCCCAGAACAATCTTCTCCCAGGTAGGCACACTTCAAAAGCTATTAGTTGGTGTCAGTCATGGGGGCGTGGCTCTGGAACTGCTCCCTGTGAAACTGTTTGGGACTCTGGTGCAGCATGCTTCCTCTCTCTGAGCCCACTGTCGCCAAGGTAAGAAGCTCACGCAACTTTGACCTTCATGGGACAGATTCATAGCGTTCAACATTCACTTCTGCACTGTGCGTTCCCTGTAATGTGTCTACTCAGGCAGGGCACTTGCAGAAACCAGAGGACTCTGCAGCCTCACTCCACTCCACTCCATAACTCTCAGCCAGCATGTAGGACAGAAGGTTTATTAATTGACAAAGACATAGCACAGAACAGATCTTGTCAGCACAGAAACCATGAACATTCAGTAAACTGAGAGGATTCTGGCCCTCCCCAAGAGAGCCAAGACTCACTTCTAGCTGCTTGGCTCTTGCTCTTCCTCCAGCCTTTGTCTTGCTTTGTAGGCCAAGAATCAGCTGGTCACATCCCCCTCCTGGTCTCAAGTTAGAGCTGTTTGGCTGATGGCACTGTACAACTTTGCCTTTTATTTCCAGGTAAGGATCCCTAAGTCTCCTCATACCGTATATTGTACAAATGAATAAAACAAAGCTTGTCCTTGTCCAAGAGAGCTCGCAATCTATTGGTTAGCTAAGTTTCAAGCTCATGTGTGTGACTAGTTATCATTGCAGAGTTTGGAAACAAGACTTTAATTACCGCATATGCTGTATCGTGTATGTCACTACCTTGCAATTATTTGAAAATTCAATATCTATATACAAATGCTTTTCAGTGATGATAGACAGCTGGAAATAGATCAATAATCCCTTGCCAAGTTATTGGACAGATTTTTGGCCTAATATTATCAGCACCATGATGCTCTGTAAGGCAGTGAGGTTCAACATTTCCAGACTATTGTAGGCCTTTCAGCAGTCTGATTTGTCTTGCATACACCAAGTTGTACCTCATCTTAAAGCCTCTTGTTTACAAGATCAGACAAAATCAGTGTCACACCTGAAAAATTGCTTATTTTCTCATTGTCTGTATTAAATTTCAGTTGGTACTGACTTCGCTAGGCTTTTTATATAGGCTGCAGTAAAACAAGGCAAATCTGAGAATGTACCTCCTGGAAGACTTCTGCGTACCTAATCGTATGCATACTCCTGGTTGAGAACCATCTGTGTAGACCTGTGCTTTCTGCCTATTCAGCCAACAGTATGATATTATTTTTTTTTAAACACCCATCAGTAGCACTGTGGTGGCTGCAGGATTTTTTTTTTTTTAAGGCAAACATTAGTTCTTGCAGAACTGTAATAATGTGGGGTTGGAAGAGAGCTTGAGGTCATCTACTTCCTCCTCCCCCATGGGCTGAAGCAAGATCAAATATAACCAGACCATCCCTGACCAATGTGTATCTGATCTGTTCTTAATTCCAGAGACAGGGATTCCCCAACTTCACTATATAAACTGTTCCAGCACCTAACTATCTAACTCTGCTTTTCATCTTAAAACTCTTGTGTATCAAGATTCCAGTGAAAGAATATTAAAAAATATTAATGTTGAATCTTCTTTAGAAAGATACATTTCCAGTTGTATACTGAAACAGCCAGAGGATTACTAAAAATGGCTTTGGAAATTTAGAGTGTATTAAGAAGCGTATATTAAATTTAGTGTATATTAAGATTGTATGAACTGTTGTCACAAATAACTAGTAGTCATACCTCATTTCAGTGCAAGTTTCTCAGCTATACTTATTCTTCTCCATATGTGTATTGGCTTCCCTTTCCATTGGGAAAAGAGAAACAGCCAGAGGATTACTAAAAATGGCTTTGGAAATTTAGAGTGTATTAAGAAGCGTATATTAAATTTAGTGTATATTAAGATTGTATGAACTGTTGTCACAAATAACTAGTAGTCATACCTCATTTCAGTGCAAGTTTCTCAGCTATACTTATTCTTCTCCATATGTGTATTGGCTTCCCTTTCCATTGGGAAAAGAGTA